GGGGTGGGCTGTTGATAAAATTTGACAACTAAAAAGGGTGGGCCATTACAAAATAGAGTAGTATTATGAATGTAATCATCAGCAAAAACCCACTTATAAGTACATTTTGTTATATGAAAGTATTTTTAACGGTGAATAAAGGTTCTTTTATTACAGCTTCCGGTTGCTACCGCATTTCACTATAAAACCCATAAATTGACATATTTGGAGAGCATCTGGCGAAACTTAAACGAGAATGGTGACCCCATCTTTTTATTGCAGTTTTTAAATGTCCATAACATGATTAATGTGCATGCAAAGTTTCAGGACAAAGTTATTGGCAAAATTTCTTTCGAGGGAATTACCTTAAGCTATTTAAAGCATTATGAAATTACATCCCATGTTGAGATCTATATCATATTTATTGATAGATTTATCTGAAACTCAGAACATTATATAAAGGTTTTTAATTTTTAAAACCATCTTAATTTAATACCTGAATTCCAACCGAATCCACCAAATCCACTGAATGATCTAGGAAGATAAGCTACAAAATAACCAACAATAAATTGAATCGTGAGTCTAACAAATCTCGATTACATGAGAAAGATCAGAAAAAGACTATTCTCTACTTTCGAATACCCATAAAACTTTATGGCTTTGGGGGGGTAACGACAGGGTAAAAACCCACATATTTTGCTGAATAAGGCTGATCAGACAATGTTTAAAATACTTTGTTCAATATCCAAATATAAAATGACGAAGTAACAAACAGAAAACGAGAAAACGATAGAAGTTTAAAGTAAATTTTAAACATTTTTTTGTAAGTCAATACATTTTTTTGTAACACCAAACTTCTTGATTTTCTGTACGCGCAAATTTAACTCAGAATATACTGATAATCAGTATTGTACAGTTAAGCAGGTATAATATATGTTAAATTAAAAAACCTTTCAATTTGGGACAGTTTTTGATATTTGGTTACCCCCAAGATTCAAAGCCATTATGGGCTTTAAGAAAGTAGAGAATTGTTGTGCCTAATCTGTCATGGCTTTAATATCATGATGTGATGGTGTGCAAAGTCTCTGTTGCACAAAAGGCAGTGACTTTGTCTTTTAATGGGATGACCTCTAATAACTCCCTAGCGGAAAATCTCCACTGCATGAACACCGCTCTAAATCAGGATTATTTTTGGCTTTGATCTATCTTCTATCAATCAGCCACCCTGTACGTTTTATGGAGCAATTAAGCTATTTAAAGCATTATGAAATTACATCCCCAGGGGCGAAGCGAAGAGCATTTTGGGAAGTACGCTTGTGACAGGTCAGCAAGCTCGTAAAATATTCCCACACCAATTTCTTCTTCAATCTCTTTGTACTATGTATTTGATAAAATGACAGCACTTCGAAGCCTACAAGCAGTGACACAGTAAGCATACAGTGAACAGTTAGCATACAGTTAGCAAAGAGCCAAATTAAAAGAAATTTCCACTCAACCAATCAGAGACAACCGTTCGGGCATGCTTGTCATGATGAACAAGGTATTCAAGCCAAAAAGAAACATTTAGGTTGCCCCTAACAACGTTGTCTTTTTCACGACAAAACATAAGTCTCAAAACTTTTTCGTTTCTCACTCAACTAAGAACCGCATTAATATTATTGTGTTTAAAGATATTCATTTTAAAGATATTCAATGCACTTTATTTATTTCAGAAAGAGTAAATTTATAACATCGGTGAAATTCCCAACTACGCAAGTGCGTATATGCGTAAACGACGCTACGTCCCTGATCCCATGTTGAGATCTATATCACATTTATTGATAGATTTATCTGAAACTCAGAACATTCTCCTAATGATAATGGTTTTTAATTCTTAAAACCATCTTAATTTAATACCTGAATTGATTCTAATACCATTGAATAATCTCCTTGACTCATTTCTCCTTATTATATCTGCGAGTACTAGAGAAGTACTTGATATTGGAGGTGTCGAAGATGCATCCTGGGTACTGTTGGTCTTGCTTTTAATTGGTTAAGGTTGAGATAAACAACTATGATTTGTGATTGCAGCAATACAAGCTCAGGGTGGCAAATGGTCATCATATAAAAACTCAATTTTGTGCAAAGATGTTCTTGCAAATCTACACTGCAAGTTGTTTATTAAAATTGTACCAAGAACTGCAGGTCTAAAGGTTAACAAAGGATACTGCTGATTGACAGAGCAAGTACTGTAGATGTAGTATACAATGAAGGCGATGGAGGCGATGATACTACGGAAAAAAGTTTTTTGAAATAGGTGACATTTCACTTGACTATCAAAGGTCTTTCAATTCAGGCAAAAAAAAGCAAGCCAGAAATTTGATGGTAGCTAAATGGCACCTAAACAGCAAGAGCTTTTTCCAATAGTAGTCACTATGTAGATGGTCGATAGTGTACTCCAACTAATATGCAAGATAAAAAAATATAAATAATGTTGCTTTATAATTTCTCAAAGTGTTTGAGAAAGGTATATGTAGCCTGCACTGGTGGGTCAGCCATGGTTACCAGAGGGGGTGGGGGGTGGGGGTGGAGGGATAAGGTACTTGAGATGATTCACCCAGTACCCCTCCCCCCAGAAAAGAGTGAAAAGGGATAACAAATCAGGAAGAAAGAGAGGGGTGAGTGGGTGAACAACACAAAAAACTAGAATAGGGAGAAGGGAGAGCCAGAAAATAGGAAAAGGGAGGAGGGAGAAACAAATGAAAAAATAGAAAGAAAGGGAGACAAAATAGCATGAAGAATAATATGTGGGGAGAAGGATATCTAAATGTATGTTCTTCTATCTCTAAAAATGCATAATTAATATTTCTAATAATCAAACCCCGCAAGATCCTTCCAAGATGTAAGGATCCTCTGGATAGTCATATCCTTCACAGTTGACAGCAATCTCGCCAAACCGATCGCCCGTGTCAGCCTCGCACTCCCACTAAAACATGGAAAAATATCCATTAGGTTGTTTGGAGCCAAAAAAATTTTGTACATAAAAATGGGCAAATTTATACTTGTATGTATATTGAAAATGGTAAAGCAAAAATAGAGCATGTGCATGTTACATTATAGTCGCCATCTTGGTTGACGTTAACAAAGCATTCCTCATAAGCTTCTCTTAATTGTTAGATCAACCAATATGGTGGCTGTTTCATTGTTATTTATATCTCAAGGGATTTTGAGTCACAAGTTGGCTGCACACACTCTAAAATTTTGGAGTTTATTCCGCAAGTAAGCTAGGTTATAAGCAAGGTCGACATGCAGGCCCGTAGCTAGGATTTTTGTTGGGGGGGTGCTAATTTACAAAAAGTGGACCAACCATATACTTTATTTTTTAAAAGTCCCATAGGACGCATAGGTATAGATAAATTATTAAAGTAAAATTGATTTTTTTTACTTAGTTTTACGTGAAAATATCATACCAGCCAAAATCTCACTTGCTTAAAAAGCAAACCTTTAGCACCCCCTGCACCCCCCTAGCTACGGGCCTGATGTCCTGTTAGTTATTCACCTGTACACGATATCCATCAGATCCTTTGTTATGACAAAGAGCAACCTTGGGTACAAATACCCAACACCAAGCAAAACCACCAACACACTTCATTTGTGGAACACGCGCAGAACTACGGCGATTGGTCATGTGACCTTGACGTAGGGTCAAGGCATAGACATCACGCAGTTTGACTTTATCCTCCAAACCTGTCAATTCATGCAAATACATGTTAATAACCTTAAGGTGGAACCAAACTATTTCAGAGCGAATTTTGGACTCATTTTTGATCTCATTCTCGCTAGCTTCGCAAAACTATTGCATCAACTTATAACAACAACGCTCGTTCCACACGGTTAAGTTCGGGAGAATACTTGCATAATGAAACCTTCAATGTCATTGTGTTTATGCAGATATTCTGCCGAACCTATCCCGAAGTTAACATTTTGGAATGTCCGATATTAAATTAATTAATTAGCCGGTTATATGTGGTAAACCGGTCAATAAATACCTTTGCTTTTTTACTGGGTTACCTGTGAAAAACCGGTCATAAAATACCTATGTTCTTTTTTACTGGGTTACCTGTGATAAACCGGTCATAAAATCCTTTTTTTCCCCTACTGGGTTGCCTGTGGCAGCTTAGTCGTAAAATAATATTTTTTTTGTCGTCTCCTCGCTAAAATAGGTAGCAAAGATAAGTGAGTTCGCTTATAATAATAATAATCTTTACTCTTCAAAATATAAAACACATATCTTAATTTACAAGAAATTAAAGAGAAAAATAAGATAAAAAATTAATTATGGATCTAAGAATTATAAAGCTAAGTTATACTTAAAAATTAAAGTTCATAAAACGATTGGTATTGACTTTTGGCTTGTTGCTTTTCTTATTTCTCAAATTATATTTAGTGGACTTCAAACGCGGCATGATTGATTAAAGTGGATGAAATTCTATGTTAGATATGTTTTTCTATCAAAACAATGCAAAGTGGAACTGGCTATGTCTTACGCGATGTTTAAGGTGGCATACGGAGTTCGACCACTTCGCAATACACAAGATGACTACTGACTTCATTGCAATCGAAGCGAAACGAATCCGTGAAACTCCAATTGATTACATATTGACTTAGGTTAGGGCGAGTAACAATACAAGAGATAAATCATATCCTTTTCATACACAAGAAAAAGACAGAATAAAGAGTGCAGAATAATCAATTTAATGTAGTAGAAGAACTAAATGCGAACAAAAAAAAAAAACATCTAAAAAAATGTATTTTAATTTTTTTGTTTTATTTTGTTTTATTTTATTGTTTTAAAAAAATTATTTTTTTAGGATGCGATTAAGAACTCCTAAGGATGCGATTTGGGAATTAATCGCACTCCTTTGGACCAATCAGATTGCAGGATTTGGTAGTGATTACAAAAAGGATATGATTAGTAACCAAATACTCAAAATAATCGAAGGATAAAGAAACGACCTACGTTTGATCTTGACTCCAAGCTAGACAAGACGCTCTTGGACCGTGCACTGGGTTGCCCAATGTGCTGGTATGCTGGAGGTTATTTAACACCTAATCTTACTTTGGAACATAGGTGTACGAGATAATCGGCCGTTTTAGTGTACGGTGCGGGAGCGTCATCTAAACCTGAACGAAATGAGCTGAAATTAAGCCATGGGGCTGTTCAGAAAGTCAACAACACACGGTGAGAGTTTTATTTGATTTTATTGATTTTAAAGCAGAAAAATGAGGATTCAAAAATACCTATATATTCTTCGTATAATACCCATATAATCTTTGTCTGTCTGTCTCTCAATCGATTCAGTTATTCAACACTAACTATGAGCCTGGGCTACCTGTGGTATTCTCGAAGTGTTGATGTAAAATAATACAATTAACGCCTGAATTGAAATAAAATTTCAATGAGTCAGCATATCTAGATTTTTCAGAAGACTCGTATAGGTTGAGCCGGATGCATCGAAAAAAGCTCTTTTTCTTAGAAATTCAAAACGAGAGTCAGATTTAAAGTTCTGGAGGACTTTATTCTCCATAGAGACAGGTCAAGTCACGGCGGTATTCAGCAAAAAAATTTTGTAAACTCGATTGAGCGAAGTTTTATTAGAACAGTTGTATTTAAGTGACTTCTTAAGAAAATAATCAATGTGGTGTAGATCGTAGAAAAATTAGCAAAAGGAAAAAAAGAACAATTCCATTGGAGTCTCGAAGGAAGTTCGGCCCGTTTTGTCATCCAAATGAGCCGTTCTGAATAAAAAGTAGATTGATCGCTGCACATTACAAACAGCCGAAGCAATGTTCTTGTATGTTGAAATCTGTGAAGGTACAAATCTACACAATAGATGTCGCCAAGAGAAAATGAAATAAGAGAAGGAATCCCCGTGCCCCATCATGTGCACACTTTGATGCTATTTTTAGAATCATTGATGCTATTTTTAACTCGTTACCATGCCCGCGCGATAATCATGCTTCCTTTAATGCCTACGATTCTTCAATTGAGTGTATTCAGTTGTGAGCTCGTAGGTCGAATGATTCCTGAAATTAAGCACTCAGCCCGACTTTTAAATTGAAAACAGAGAAAGCGTTTGCAAATAGATCTTCCTATTCATAGTCAACTTGAATATGTAAATTATGTTCCAGAGGAATTGTTAATATGTATTCTCACGGACTTTATACTAATACAAAAGGGAAAGGACGACATGAATTAATCACTCTCATTAAACCACCGACGAAGAAGTGTACGTTTTTTGACCCACCCACCCGCCCACGAGCAGGCCGGGTTGATCCACATTCTGTCCAATTTATTGCTCTCCGGCCAGGACTTGTTCCAGGCCAGAGTTGTCTTTCCATACCTTAATATTAACAATAGATGGGACAGAATATTACACAATTTTACTCATATTTGACTCAGTTGACTCCATTGAAGTTGTTAGAAAGCAAAATTGTTATCCACTGGGCTTCCTGTTCAATTTGTCACAGCTATCGTTTTAGCCAAGAGAAAATCATGTAACCATCATGTGCACAATTTGATGCTATTTTTAAACCATCTGCACGCACATTTACTGCGCACGCTCTACGCTGTTTGCGGTTTTTCCGTTATTTCGATTCTGCCCTGAATCATATGAATGTGCACGTCGAAAGCTTGGCAAATACGACAGGAAATTGAAGTAGTAATTTGTTCAACGTTCTGGAGTATTTCTACATTTATTTTCCAAAGCCTTCGACCTACATCATCATCTTGAGGGCAGATTTGAATGTTTGAACATAAGAAAAGCACAAGAAAACGTTAGCAAACAGCGTAGAGCGCGCGCGTACTATGCGCGTGCAGAAAGTCAAACGATCAAATGAATGATATCATTGGATGATATTTTTAGAATAGATTCTAAAAATAGCATCAAAGTGTGCACATGTTGGGGCACGGGGATTCCTTCTCTTAGTTCATATTCTCTTGTTTTAGCTAAATACAACAACAATATTTTGGTCGAACCAATCGAAACAAGAACTTTGTACCTTCAGTACAGTAAAATGGACCGGTCTATTTTACTTAGCCAGCGTAGCGGGTCTCAGGGGACTTTCCTCCCCAGTCCTACGAGAGCCGCTACGCTGGCTAATTTTACTGTACTGAAGATAAATTTGATTAACTTATTAAAGGAGAGTAATCGCTAACGAAGCGACGCCGGCGCTGCTTGGCACGGATAGTGCAGCGGTAAATACTCAGAGCGTACGTACAGCTGATTCAAACCAGAAAGACCGTTGGTGGACGTGGTAAATATATTCATATCGTACGGCTGATTCAAACCAGAAAGACCGTTGGATGCATGGAAAGGATGTTTATTTTTAAAGATAAGTTAACAATTAGTATCCATTTAGAAACAATACGACAGAAACTAATCTCAATAAGATTCAGACTGTGTAAAATTTTGCTTGTAGGATTGTTTCATGGGCCAAAAAGTATATGATCACATCTCACCTATACTAAAAGAACTTAGATGGTTGCCAATTAGAAAGTGAACTATATCTTAGGAAAGTTACTCTAGTTTTCAAGTGCATGAACGGAATGGCCCCAGGTTACTTGGCAGACAAGTTTGTCAAAAGATCTAGCATCTCTAGCCGTCAAACTAGCAGTTCTCAGATGTTAAATATTCCGCTCCTTAAGACAACCACAGGTCAACGTTCCTTTTGTTATCAAGGAGTTAAGCTTTGGAACGATCTAAGCGATAGCCTTAAACTTTGTAAAAATGTGCAGTTTTTTAAGCATGCAATGAGAAAAAAGCTTTTAAAGGAATTTCTTAATAATTTAATTTTTTACTAATAATAATTATGATTACGATAATTTTTTTTAAAAAGATAATTATATTTTAGGTCTTTAAAATGCATTTGTATATCTAGATATATATTTTATCTTTTCTATTATATATAATATATTACAATATAGCTTGTATGTTCACCTGT